TGCTTTATACTTGGCTATGCAAATTTGAAAAGCATACACAGATATATACAGGCAGTCTTTTGCCCTAAATGTGCGACTGGCTCTATTGTTCAAGTGTGACAAGGAAATTTTTCTTGGTTCTTGATCACAAAAACACATGGATTTTCAAATCAAATTGTAATGTTGTGCATGTTTTAACATGTTAAATCTTGACAAGATTGAAAAGTTGAATGGAAATAACTTAAAAACTTGGAAGCAACAAGTTAAAATGAATCTGGGCATGTTGGAATTCAACATAGCTTTCAAACTTCCTCAACCATCTACATTAATTGATGAAAGTATCTACATTAATTGATGAATGCACTGCACAAGATAGAGACAATTTTGCAAAATGGGCAAGAGCAAACCAGATGTCTCTTCTCAAGTTACAAGAGGTCGGACAAAGCAGAAGTTGGAGCATATCTTTATGCACTAATTAAAAGCATGATGGAGCAAGCAGTGTTCGTGAGCATCTATTGAACTGGTTAATATTTCAAACAAACTGAATGCAGTGGAAATTGGCATCACTGATTTCTTGTTCACATGGCTCTATATTCCTTGTCTGGAGAATATGATCATATTAAGATGAACTACAATAATCAAAAGGAAACATGAAGTATAATGAACTTATTTCAATTTGCTGTCAAGAAGAGGAGAAAGTGAAGAAATCGAAAGCTGAGACGTTGGAATTGGCAAATCATGTCAATACCAGCAAGGGCAAAGGAAAAGTCATTGTTGGGAACAGAAATGAGAACTACAAGGGCAAGAAACAGTTGGGGTTTCGAAATTCAACAGGTTCTGCACTTGGTTTCAATAAACAATTCAAGAGCTCTACTGTGTCTACCAAAACTGGTGGTGCTTCCACATCCACTGGTCTGAAAGTACACAAAGCTAATTTCAAAAGATGTTTCCATTATCAGTCCACCGATCACTTGAGAAAAGGATGTCCTGGTTTTAAAGCATGGTTAATCAAGAAAGATAACAAAGTCTTTAACGCTTTTGTAATTGTTGAATCAAACATGGTTTTTATACAACACTTGATGGTTTAATACTGGTTGTTCGATTCATATAACAAACTCTTTGCATGGATTTCAAAGTCAGAAGGAGACAAGTAAGAAGCCCTAGAGTGTTTATGTTGGAAATGGAAATAAAGTTCTAGTTGAAGCAGTTGATCTTGTTAAATGAAGATTGTCATCTAGTTACATTTTGACTTTGACAATGTTCTTTATGTACCTTCAAGAAGAAGGATTTTGTTTTCTGTGACTCAATTTATTAAGATGGTTTCTCTTACAATGGAGATGGCAATTAAATAAAATTTTATCTTAAGGATCAATTTGACAATTCTATTGGCTATGCATTTTCAAACAGTGACCTTTGGTAAATTGAATGCACATACTATCAAGAATGTCTTAGTGTTGTACATTCTGCTCCAAAACGAATGCTCACTGATGATACATCTTCCATGCCTTGGCATAGAAGACTAGGGCATATAAGAGAAGATAGAATGATGAGACTTGTAAAAGATGGTGTGTTGTCAAATGTTAACCCAAATGAACCAATTCATAGACTTTTTTTAAGGGCAATACCACTAATTCAACGAACAAGATCAATGCCAAAAGAAGTAGTGATCTCTTAGAGATCGTTCACATTGATTTTTTGGTCCATTTCCAACAAGAGCAATATGTGGAAATTCTTATTTTGCACTCTTTATTGATGATTTTTCAAGATACACTTGTTTTTATCAAGCACCAAAGGATGCAATAATATATATAGGTAAAATGAGATGTATTAAAGTTAGACTTAATTAGGGTTTTATAGCCGGATTAAAAACCATGTTGGAGGGAATCTAATGATTTCAATTAAGTTTGAAATAGGACAGATATGGTTTGAACAATGACTGATGACAACCACTTCCTTAATCGGTGGAAGCAGTTATCATGATATAAATAAAGGAAATTTTATTTGGACCTAGTTATCTTATTTCTACACCTAACTAACAAGTTTTATCTACCAAACTTCCAAGTTTACCATTAAATAAATAAGAATAAGAAAAGAAAAGAAAATCAACATTGGTGTTTTTATCTCTACACCCCATAACTGGCACAACAGTGCACTCCTCCATTATTTCCGGCAATACCCACCCAAATAACAGCAAAATATTCTCTCGAGTTCTAGTATAGTTGGGTCTAAATAAAATTTCTCTATAAATATAGGGTTCGTCCCTCTTCTCGGTGCTATGTCGTTTTCTAGTTTGTATGCTTCCGCCATTGAGAGCTTGGAAACCTTTCGGTGAGTACTAGAGGAGACTAATTTTGCCTATAGAAACTCAATGTCTGTGCAGGTTAGGCTCAAAGTTTCTGCATAATTGTTTTTCATGGTTTAGTTTGATGATATATTGTCATCTCAGTCATGCATGTAGTCTAGGGTTTGGTTAAGTCGATCTCTGAAAAGGCCAACATACCTATCTCAAACAAAGAGTAGCTACCTCCCAAAAACGGCAGTACAAATAAATAATTTTAATCAAGAAAGGAACGAGCTTACCCATTCGGCAGGACTAGAACGGAACAAATGAGCACTCGATAAGTTTCTCAGACAATGGCAATTCGATGAACCCTAAGCCCTATTTGGTTATTGCGGCTGGTCTGGCCTGTCATAACGGCAATGCCATGACCAGTTTCTGTTGAAGCTTGCGGTTAGCCGAACACTCTTGCTAATACTCCTTCGATTCTCAAATGCCATGATTTCGACGGCCTTGAGCATGCGAGAAATGGTAGCTTGCAAATTATTTGGGTCTTGATTTCCCTGAGAACCAGGAGACTTCTCGGGAGGGGACTGAGGAACAGAGCCATTATTAGTCATGCTTTCGTCCGAGGTTCTACTTACCACATATATTGCTACTTAGTTTCATAGAATAAGAAGAGGTGATTCTCAGTTTACCTTTAAGACTTCGTTTCCAATGTCTGAAGACACGTGTGGAAAATTTAGGCATACAAAATTTTCATGCTATCCCACTGGGCATGCCAAAAACTATGTTGATGCCAAAACTTGAATAGAGCTCGGACTCTTGGTAGTTAACATGTATTTACCCCAAGTGTTGTTTTCGGTCTTGGTGCCATGAGATGGCTCGAGAGAAAGAGAGAATAGGCGTGCCATTGTTGGAGGATGATGACATACAACAATTGTTTGTGAGTGCAGAGGTGCGTGAAATGACTTCTAGACCAAGCAATTATGAGTCGAGTGGGACACTGATTCAACTAGGTTTATTTCTGTTCCTCAAACGAACAAGGACTTAAAATTCATTGTGAGATTGTGTGTATGCCCCAAAGTAAATAAATATAAATAGAAACTACTGAGAGGAAGGGAATGTAATCATTTAGTGATTGAGTCAAGATTACAACGTTCATTAAGGTAAAATCAAAGCCGATGGGCCAATCTACATGTCTGGAAATGTAAAGTAGTAAGACTCTAGCAAGATTCTAGCCATGAAGGGTAGGATAATACTAGAGAAGTCCACTGAGATCGTTGTCTTCAGACTAGACTGGTTACAAAACATTTGCCTCATAGAGGTTCTTGGGGTGGCTAGAATTGTACCTCAACCAAAAATCATACCATGTGGTGGCATAATGAAAATAGTTTGAGATCTTAGGGATCACACGTAGGGTTTTTCTTTGAATGAAGGCTTTAGTGTTTGTAGCTGATGAGCTGAAAACCTGGTTGTTGAAGAGCAAGTGTTTTTGTGTTGAAAAGCAGTTCTGGGTTAATTGAAGAATCACTTAAAGGTTTTGTACAACCAAAGAGATTGAATTTGACGAATATCCCAAGCTTGAAGGTCTCTGGCTCTATTTATAAGCAACGGAGAAGAAGCAGCCTCGATCATCTCGCTAAGATGGCAGAAGAGTAGATCAATCCTTAGGCACTGGTAATAATTGCAATTCCTGGTTGGTGGCCTTCGGTTATCTTTTGAGGCAATTCGAGAGGTGGTTATGTGGCATGAAAAATGTGATAAGAGTAGTAATTTTTTTTTTCAAAATTAAGACTAGGATGATTGAATTGGTTTAGGTCACTCTTTGTAGTGTTCACAACTGAACGCAATTCGAACACTGCCCCCACCGATTCAAACAATCAACACGATACTTATGCCCTGCCAAAGGTATCTAGCATTATACATACATACATATATAATGAAGTTCAGAAATTAGGGGTGCATGGGAGGCTGTGCTAGGGAAAGGGATCCTCTATGGATCTCTTTCCACCTAATCTACCTAGTCTGGGATTCGGGCCATTCAAGTTTGATTTAACGGCAACAAATAGGAGGCCCCTTTAAAAGTGATAATAACTGTAGCCATTGGATCAAATTTGAATGGTTCGGATCCCGGAGTAGATGGGTTAGGTGGAAAGGGATTAAGAGAGGATCCCTTTCCCTGTGTTGGGGTGTTTTGGAAAGGTGTTAGTCTTTGTGTGTATTTTTGGAAGAAATGTGGTGAATTTAGAAAGGTTTAAATTTTAAAATTTTAACCAAGTGTAGAACAAAGTTGGGGTAAACTTAGATGAAAAGTGGTTATGTGATTGTATTTCTAATGAAAAAATTGGCAATTAAAATTCTGAATTAGTTAAATTAAAATCATGTGATGTTACATACTAGCCCATATCCGGATATCATGCGAATTTTCCTTTCTTAGGTAATCTAGTTTAGAATTAAAAGGTAAAATTTGAATGGTTAATTTTGTATCAATAAAAATATTAAAATACTAAAATTTGAACGAATGATCCTCCGAAAAACTCGAAACTGACTGGATCTCCTTATTTTCTTTGATAGCTATATATGTTGTGGTTGTGGAAGTCCAACTTTATTTAATGTTGTTGGATTTTGGTATCTTGTGTGGTAATATGTTTAGTAATTGAACCTCGAGTTTGATTTAGTTTGTCTCCCAACCTATTGGTGCTCATTCATGTGTATATATACGTGTAAATAATTCCTGTGGAACAAAACTTTTGAAATGTCCCCAGTGCGTGAAAGCGAAACTCCTGAAGATAAGGTGGTCGAAATCCTGTCTAGGTTGCCGCCCAAGTCTCTGATGCGATTCAAATGCACACGCAAGTCTTGGTGCACTCTCATCAATAGTTCAAGCTTTGTTGCCAAACACCTTAGCAATTCCGTAGACAACAAACTCTCATCCTCCACCTGTATCCTTCTCAACCGTTCTCAGATGCCGGTTTTCCCAGACAAAAGTTGGAAATATGAAATTTTATGGTCCATGATTTATCTTTCCATTTATAGTGATGAGCACAACCATCATTATGATGTTGAGGACCTAAACATACCGTTTCCATTAGAAGATCATCATCCTGTACAGATTCACGGTTATTGCAATGGGATTGTCTGTGTAATAGCAGGGAAAACTGTTATTATTTTATGCAATCCTGGAACCGGGGAATTCAGGCAACTTCCCGATTCATGCCTTCTTGTACCCCTTCCCAAGGAAAAATTCCAATTGGAGACGATTTTTGGAGGATTGGGATTTGGTTATGATTGCAAAGCTAAAGAATACAAGGTTGTGCAAATTATAGAAAATTGTGAGTATTCAGATGATGAGCGAACATTTTATCATAGTATTCCTCTTCCTCACACGGCTGAGGTATACACCATAGCTGCTAACTCTTGGAAGGAGATTAAGATTGATATATCAACTAAAACCTATCCTAGTTCTTGTTCAGTGTACTTGAAGGGATTTTGTTATTGGTTTGCAAGCGATGGCGAGGAATACATACTTTCATTTGATTTAGGTGATGAGATATTTCATAGAATACAATTGCCTTCTAGGAGAGAATCCAGTTTTAAGTTTTATGATCTTTTTCTGTATAATGAATCCATCACTTCTTATTGCTCTCATTATGATCCAAGTGAGGATTCTAAATTATTTGAAATATGGGTAATGGACGATTATGATGGAATTAAGAGTTCATGGACAAAACTCCTAACAGTTGGACCCTTTAAAGGCATTGAGTATCCATTGACACTTTGGAAATGTGACGAGCTTCTTATGCTTGCCTCCGATGGAAGAGCCATCTCTTATAATTCTAGTATAGGAAATCTCAAGTATCTTCATATTCCTCCTATTATCAATGAGGTTATTGATTTCGAAGCTCTTAGTTATGTGGAAAGTATTGTTCCGATCAAGTGAGTTGAGGGCAAAGTTTCATTTTTCTCCTTTTAATTTAATTTGCTTTGTGGTCTTTGTAGTATGTTTGCTTATCAAGGGCTACCATTAGTTTTTGTGATTTCCACGCTTGTAATGTTTTTGAAACCTTTAATTTTTGTGATTTCCACATTTTGTAATTTTGAAAGTGTACCATAACTATCTTTTTGGAGTTAATTAATAATTTATCAATACCCTTTTTTTTTGTTTTTTGTTTTTGTTTTGTTTTTGTTTTTTTTTTGGAAATTCCCTTCTTAAAAACCTTATAAGTTTTTACTCATTTAATATAATCAAGTTAACCCTTCTACCGTAGGCAGAACTGCTCTCTTAAAGTGTTTATTTTGAGGACATGATATCCTTTTTCATATGAGCCCTAGATTAATCTAATGGTGACCTTAATGTTGACAAGCAAGATCTGTTGAAAAGTTTTCAATTCAAATCAATTAAAAGGAGTTTTCAGTACCCGGTCGATACATTTTTGAAGGGGCGTCTCATTGTCAAGTGTAAGAATGTCCAGTGTCCATGGTGGATTTTCGGATACTAAAAATGTAGTGAGGAGTTTAGGATTGCCAAATGTGAAGTCTCCCACAATGTGATTTGGCTTTGTTGAAGGACCATCACCCACAAGTCAACATGCGGCTTACTGGTCACATGATGAGGGAAAAGTTCAATGATCCCGATATGGTGTACAGTGCCAAAGATGTTGTGCATGATGTTAAAACCAATCTCGGGGTCACAACAGTCAGCATCTCGGGCTAGACGACTGACATTGTCATCAAGTTGCGGTTCACCTAAGGACTCATATGCCAAGGTTCTCACCTACTGAGCCAAATTTGAGAGGCTAAATCTGGGGAGCAAGACAACCATCTTAACCGATGGAGACCATTCTTTTTGGTACTTTTTTCTTTGCAATTGATGCGTCAATCAGGGGTTTCTTGTCATGGATGCGGACATGTATTGCGGTTGATGCATCTCACTTGAATTCAAAGTACAAAGGTATCCTCTTAGTCGCGACAGCATTCGACTATTACCGCAACATCTACCCTTTGGCTTTCGGCATAGGCGACATAGAGAACAATGATTGCTGGAAGTGCTTTTTCAAGCAACTCCATGGAATGACTGGGAATGTATTGAATTTGGTTATAATTTCGGATTGCAACGCAAGCATCGCAAACGTGGTCAATAAGGTTTCAAAAAACATTAACATGTTTATACATGTATCACTTGAAAGGGAATATCAAGGCCAAGTTTCGCCTAAAAAAGAAGGGCAACTTTTTCTACCACTACAACAAGGCAGTAAAATCCTATTCTCGTGCCGAGTTCGCATACACTTCGTCAAGATCAAAGACTTGGTAGCATAATACCTAAATGATGTGGGTGTGGAAAAGTGGTTATGGGCTCGAATGAATGTAATGACCACTAACATTACTAAGAGCATTAATACAATGTTGCACTTGGCGAGGGAGCTGCCCATACTTTATTTGATCGATTTCATTAGGTGGTGTTGCAAAAATGGTTTTGACAAAGGCGGGATATAACACGTATGACCACTACCACGTGCCCCGGTCTCGGTGAGAAAAAAAACATAAGAAAAAGGGTATAGGATGTAAGGCACATGCGTCTCCATAAAGTAAGTGACATCGAGTTTCATGTTTACCACACGAATAGTGAAGCCGTGGTTGATATACGTAACAAGACTTGCATTTGCCGAAAATTTGATCTCGAGCAACTGCCCTGCAAAACACACCATTGCAGCTTGCTTATTTGCAAACTGCAACTTCTATGAGTTGGCTTTGACCTATTACAGTAGTACAATGTGAGAGGTAGCTTATTCTGATTCCACATACTTAGTATTCCCCGCTTTGTAATGGAACTCAAAACTGTAGCCGAAAGCAAGTTAATCCTACCTTCGACAAGGAAGGCACTGGTCGTAAGACCCAAGAAGCAGCGTATCCCGTCACAAGGAGAACATATAGTCTATTGGAAATGCAAGCATCGCCGGAAGCTTGGTCATAACCAACAAACTTGCAGGAAACTTGTTGATATCCCCAAAACCACATAATTGTTTCCCTTGCATAAGGTGCCCTGTAGTGTGCATGTATTTTGCATGTCATGGTATTTTTGGATTAAAGTGTTTATTTTTTAAAAATGGTAGAAGCAACTCCTTGTGCATGGGTTATACATATACTGTGCATGCATTGAGTTGTGCATTTGTTGTGCAAATAAGAAGTATATTCAGTTGTCATGTTTATAACCCAGATTGAATGGGGATGGGGTTTGTGTGAGAAAAGGATATTTATACACCATGATCTGGATGAAAACCCATTGGGTCATATTAAGTGGCCGAATAAAACCCTAATTAAAACCCTTTTTTTAATTTTTTTTAACATATTATTATTAAACATTTATGAGTTGACATGAGAAGAAAGAACATCTTACACATTTACATGGTATGCACACCTCAAGTAGGTTAAGATAAGACATAAAGGTGAGGTCATGTACAACACATGTACAACTCATCTACCTTGTCTTATCAATAAGGTTATGATGCCAACTAATACATTTACAAACAAACCATGGAAGCCCAATTTTGCTAACCAATTTCCACTTTTTAGATTGGGATTTACACAACTATAAGCATGGTGCCTTTTCCAATAAAAGAAACCTTAAAATAATGGGGTAAGTATCATTCTCTTTGGTGCCAATTCTTGAGGAGGTCCCAAAGCGTACAATACATTGCTCTTTATCACATTTTTGTTTAAAAAACTATGGAAAGTATCCCACCAAGGTATTTTTTTGGCGCCATGTATCCATCCTTTCTCTAGGGAACCAGAACAATTTCTTAGCGCCAATTTTTTGCCTATTTCATAGGCAATCGCATATCCAACCACAACATTTCACATTACTAACTCCACACATGCGCGCGCACACACACTAGCACTAACACATTGCAAACTTCATCACATAATCAGCCTCCATGCTTGCAATGTTCAATAGTGTTTGATTATATGACACCGACCGGGGAATCCGACCACGAGAACGAAATCATCAGCAACTTCAATTTTAATGCGGCAAACCTCGTGGCTAAGGAACATGCCACCGTTTTCAAGACTCTGATCATCGACATTGAAAAGGAAAAAGAGGTACGTATGGCAATAATTGAGCTGTTCAAGTCTATCAAGGACGACCACAGACTCCGAGCTCGGAGGAACCTCTTCAAGGTCAGACTCCTGAAACTTAAATTGAAACACTGTTTATATGAGGATAATGTTAGCCGGTTCAACGTCTCCAAGGAGCTGGAAATGAAGAAGAAGAAAAAGGCTTATGAGGGAGGAGTTGAGTTATTTCGGGCGTACGTCAATCTTCACAACAGTGCCAAGGCCAACAAGGATTGGCTTGATGTCGACGTGATCGAAAAGTGCAGCCTCCTTCGTAGGCGTTTGTTCTAGGTGTGGCATTGGCCATCTTTTTTTGTAGACTATAAAGGTCCATTTTTTATGTAGTCTTCCAAAGTTGAAACTTACAGAGACCTTCTCAACTTGCTGCACCATTGTCCTTCTTGTTAAATTGGGACATTGGTGCATCAAGATAATACTTTTGATCACTTTGATGTAATATGCATTGCCACTCATTGTAATGAAAGGGGATTAACGACTACTTCCACTTTTATTTTTTGCCATTTAGTGTACCATGCTTTCAGTTATTCTTAAAAGAACTAAAGAAATTTTTGACAAAAACTAAAGAACTGCAGAAACTATACGAAATTCTACCTAGACAACTTGTACATATCATGTGCATATGTTGTGCACACAATGTCTATACTATGTGCATACGATGTGCGTACGAGTATATGGTACATGCATGGAAAACTTGTATGTAATGTGCACGGGAAGTGCATAACATGTGCACCAAAATTACAAATACTAAATTTTCACAATTTTTCTAGATAGGAAATTCAAACCACCGCCAAAATTTGGGGCCCAATTTTGAATTTTGGGAAACATACGAAACACACCTCAATTTTTTTTTTAAATTTAATTGTCCTTTCATTTTGGTGATTTTGTGCATATAAAAGGAAACACAAAACACCTCATTCTCTCATCCCTATAAGGAAGAAATATATACCACAATCAAGCAATAAAACCTTCATCTTCCTGTTCCGAGCCTTGCTCCCCTCGTACCTCACCCTATAAATCTTCTTATTCCTGTTCTCACTCATGTTCACCTCCCTCTTCCCCTGGATGGATGACATAGGCTCGTTTGAGCCATATGAGCTTGGAACAATTGTATGGAGGATTACTAAGCACAAGGAAAATCATGCAAAGAACATCGCATCCTTGAAGCGGGAATTAAAAAATGGCTTGTCAACCTGTGCAGATGTTAACAGCAAAAAAGATCATCTCATTCAAAGCATATAAACACGCATTGCGCGAACAATACAAACAAGGCTTTCAATCGGGACTCAGTGAGGGGTTTGAAATATTTCGCCACTATGCAATCAAAGTGGATGTCAACGGGAAGTGGGTGACCGTTGACTACTACAAGGCACTTGTCGTTGGGGCCACTTGCCAGGGATAATTTAATTTGAACTCGTCTAAATTGAAACTACAATTTATTGGGATTTATGTACTCACTGTTGATTGGGACGATGATGGCAACGCTTCCAGGTATGTGTGGTATCCCTTCTTCGACTTCCCTTTTGGTTCAAATGAAGTAGTGACCTCAGAGTTATGATCAACATTTGCAACACCTTTACTTTCTTCCTCCGGTGTTGCATCCTTACCAGCCTCAACATCATCAAACATGACGTTCCAGTAAGGCGCCATCGTTTCTTCCTCGATCGAAGTAATCAGGTGGACAATAATGTACATCAGACAAAATCAGTGTTGCATACCTAAGTACAACCTATTCGTAACACAAAATTCATTAAGTTTATTAAAATTGAAACAAACACGTATCGATTTTTGTGCAAAAAGACTGTTCTTCAGCTTATGATGGGACAGATTTAAGTTGGTCCCAATGGAAAATCCGGGGCAATAATTGAGGGTTCTCTATGCGCACCCTCACATAGTTTTTGGACCTTAAGCACAACAAAGTTTCAAACAACTAGATCTTCAAATTTTAAAGTGATAATGTCAATAAGTTACAGAGGAAACGAATGCAAAAGTGCGTTCAACTTATAACAACTAAATAAAAGGGAAATTGCCTGAAAAACATATGGATCGCACCCCCCGATTTCTCTACAACTTTTTCTTTTACAACCTTGTGGCAGGTCAAAGTGGCTGTGGATATGCTTGGCTCCAACACCTGGAATGATATGGATTGGGAGGGATATGTCTCCCATTTTTCTTCATCATCTACCAATTGAAGCAGGTGGTAGTCAATAGCTGACTCATTTTCTTGCCCAAAACAACAAAGTGGGCAAAGTATAGTAGGCTAAGCTTGTATGTATCTTTTGGATGCTGGTACATGTTGAATTGATCCTCCAATTGTTTCAGGGTTATCTTTTTATTCCCTTAAAATAGATGTCTCTAAGACAACATTCATCTTCCTTCTCTTTTGGTTGGGGGGGGGGGGGAGGAATTCTTCGAAACTAAGTACCATCACCAAGTCGCGGCATATTCCCAAAAAAGGAGGGAGATGGAAT